AGCACTTGCTGGAGGCCTGGATGCTTGGGATTAGGGGGAATTGGGGTTTGGCCAGACAGGGCAATGCTGATAGCTCAGTCACTGCCATGGTGGGCAGGACAGATCTAGGAGGAGGGAAAGTGTAAATGGGAGGAGAGCGCCTGGGGATGCTCTGTGTGAAGGCCATCACTCCCTGCTTGGTGTGTGGCTGCAACAGTCCTGCTCCTGTCCACCACCGTGTGACTAAATGAGATGGAGTTGCACAAGCGGTTGCAATGGGGTGTGCCTCTCCCCTGCCTGTTTGCTGTGATCCTCAAGGGGTTCCCAGGGTGCTGCTTCCATGTCTGCAGCTGAAGAATATCCTTTAGTTTCTCTCAGCTGGTTGCAGCAGTTTAGTGCTGTGCAGGAATCACTGGCTTCAAGACCAGCGTGGCCTCAAGAGTACCAGTGCTCTTGAGGGCTAGTGAGAAAGGATCACCGTTAGTCATCTTTCATGCCAGTTTTTCCAGCTGTTCTTTGCATCCTTGGTGCTTTTGGCTTCAGGAATTAGGCCGAGCTCTTAGTGAGCATGAGGAAATGTGTTAAACCCTGAAACCTTCACACCACCAATGGCCTTGTTCCAGAGTGAAGAGACTAATTAGTCAGTGAGAATGCTTCAAGGGATTTCATCAATTGTCCTGTGATTCTTTCTAGCCTCTGAGTCCACATTACAGTAGAGAGGCATTCCCTTTACTCTCTCTCATTTTAGGTTAATTTTAGTTTAGTTCAGTTTTGGTATATTTGGTATTTAACAATGTTGTATGAAAACAACATCTCCACATGCGTTTAATTTAGAATCAAATTACTGTGATACTGTCAGGAGAAAAACCACATGCCAGACCCTCAGCTGCTGTGAATCAGCAACAATCCATTGATTTCAGCAGGGCAGCACTGATTTATTCCAGCCAAGGATCTGGCCCACCCTTGCATAAAAGGAAAACCCATTTCTTCACCCTGGTGACTGAAACATTGCATATCAAGATAGGATGTGTCTAAACCACCTCCTTTTACTTTTCACCACTTGTGTCATTTTGTTTGTGTTTTCTGCTACTCATTTTTTTGCTGGGGCAGTGAAACTTTTCTGTTGGAGATAATTTCACTCTAAGCTCACAAGCCTTGGCACAGCTGAGTTTTGGGAGGATGGGGTTTAGTGTTGCACTGAATATGAAAAGTGAGATTATCTTCAGCAAAATGAGATTTCTGGTTGTAATGTTTTTGTTCTTGTACGTAACCTTCATGCTATATAAGACAACAGGGGGGATGTTTCCTGCTATTTTCTGTTCTTTATATGATGCTTGAAGAAGCCAAGGGTTGGTGTGTAATTACACTCTTCAAGTCAGAGAGCACCTGAAGAGCTGGGTACCTTTTGAGACAAATTAGAGGAGTTCAGACTGGCTCGTGTACAACTTCTCTGCAAGAAATACCTTTCATGGGATAAATGAGAGTCACTTCATTTTTGTGAAAAAGCGTCTGCTTTCCACAGCACAGTTGTATTTTTCTGTTGGTGCTGTCAAACTGCTTTGAACACAGATGGCAGCTGCATTATCCTCTGCATCCCTTCCATATGAGGAGAGACACAGCGGCCCTTGAGAGAGGAAACCCAGCTCTGATTTCTGATCCAGAAGGTCCCAAGAGCTCTTACGCCTGGCTCAGGCTGACCCTGTCTGTGCATTGATATGGTCCATGTGTTTGGCAGAAATCCTGTTAAAGTTAGTGGCTTCTGCCTAGGTGCCATTGCAACCTCAGCCACCTTCCCACAGCAAAAGGAAGAAACCCCCTTTTTGACAGGTACCAGGAAAAACAATGACGTATGATGTTATAGGTTGGGTGTAACTGCCACCCTTCATTTACTGCAGTTTTAAGAAATTATTAACGCTCCTTTGTGGAATCAGGGAGCTGAAACAATGGTGGCCTCCACCCCAAGCACACGTCACTGCCCAAAACAAAGGCACGGCCCCAGCCTGCATAGGTGTGGACAGGTTTCCTTGGCTGTTGGCTTGGGAGAGCCTGGCAGGAAGGGCAGCCAGGGAAAGCCCAGCGCAGAGAAGCAGTCAGTGCTTTGTGGGTTGACTGATGGTGAAAAGGGAGCGGAATAAACTGGGTCTGGCATGGCGAGGAGAGATTTTGTACCTGCTTCGTACACGAGCAAGATTTCTGCAACGAAATAACTGGCACCGCTGAGAAGCGGAATCCACATGGAGCTGACCTAAGGCTCTGGTTATCCACTTGTCTGAAAGAAAGTCGCTAAAGAAAATGAAATGAGTTGGAAAACAGAAGGCATTGGCAGGAGTACAGCCTGTTACCGGAATATATGTGTTGTATAGCAGTAAATGGAGGAGCCTGATTTGCCTGGCCCTGTGCAAATCCCACTAAGCGTTTACAAACCAAGAAGTGATGACTGACGCAGAGCAGAGGGGCAGCAGGGGGAGAGTGAAGTGCTTTAAATCTCTCATTTTCATTTGACTCAGTTCCAGGATGACACAGTCCACCCTAGATTAAAAATAACTACAGAAAGGAGTAGAACACTTCTGCTTCGGGGTATCTTTTTGGGAGCATCACAGGTTTGATTCAGCCTCCTTATTTAGCTTTTATGCCAGCCTGTCAGTGGAATTGTGCTGTCGTGGCTGAAGTAATACTGCGGTGACTCGCAGCTGTGACAAGGACCTTGGGCTGCCTTCCTCATTTTAACATGAAACTGTAAGGAAGACTTAGCACTATCCTTGCTGTTACCCAGAAATGCTTTTCTTCCAGAGATCAGGAACAGTAGGACCTAGGGGATCAATACTGGTTTGGGAGCCAAGAGATGTGACTCCGTCTCCCAGTGTAAGTTTTTGTGAGGACTGTTTGGAGCAGGGACTGTTGCCTGCTCTGGCTGCCCATGACTTCTTTCAGTTGCTTTGCAGGTGCATCAGTAGAAACACCAACCCACTGTCCTCTTGAGTCTGATCTGTGAAAAAATACATCCTGTATCACTGCTGCCACGTGCAGATTTCAGCCAGATTTAGGGAAGTGAAAGAGAACTCAAAGATACTAAGTTCCAGCTTTTTTTTTTTATTTGTGGAAATAAGCGGTGGCTAGGAAATGAGATCTAATTACCTAATTTCTTCTTCACAACAAGTTGCAGTGAAAGTGCAGATCTTGTTAGAAAAGTGTCCCCTGCGAGCACCCCCCCCCCTCCCCAGAGGAGACAAAGTTCTGAGTGACTGGGATGGCGTGATTATTGTCAGGGTGCAGAGCTGCTGGATCCAGGGGAGCTTTGATACAGGAATCCTTGGGACACCCAGTTACTTCACAGGAAATCTGGACAGGTTTTCTGACTCCCTTATCTCCTGCCTGTTTGGAATGGGTCTGTAACAAACTGCCTTGCTCTGCACCAGTAAATGTGATCTCCTACAGAGTCATCAGCTATGGGTGGCATGAACTGGTGTAACCACGGGATGAACATACCTTTGCCTGTTAGTGCTACTAGAAGATCTGCAAAGTTCAGCAGGGGAAAGTTGACTTTGACGCCTCCTCAGTAAGGTTAGAAGGCAGCTAATAACTCCTTTCCCCAGTAGCAAAGAGCTGATAAAAACTAGAGCTGACCCAGCCCTGTGAAAGCCGCTTCCTGGGTTCCTCAGCCCCCTGGCTGATGTACAGTTTGGTGGACAAACTGAAAAGTAAGGCAGAAAAGGCAGAAATCCCCCCTTTAAAGGGTGGCAAATGAGGAAGAAGAGATTTATCCCCAAATTTTGCCTTTGTTCAACTGGAAATATATTGTCTCCGAGTAGTATCACCAACTAAACCCATCAAGTTAAGTTTAAAATGGTTCCTTCAAAAGAGTTTGGGGTTTGTAACCCTCAGATCTTTTACTGCCAGAATTATTTGGGGATTTGAATAGCTTCAGACTTTTTTCTGTGAATTTACTGTTTTCTGTAAAACCAAACTAATTACCCAGATCCCCTAGGGTCGGATAGGACCGGCAGTGCTGCAGCGGTGGAGTGAGAAGGTGTTTCTCAGAAGCAAACAGGATTTACTCTGCTGGTTCCCTCCAAGTGCCATGAATGGTGCCATAGGGTGTCAGAAATGCATCTGGTGTTTCATGCTGCTGCAGACCGGAAAAAAAAATATATTTTCCAGGAACTCAAGCCTGAATAACATAATAAATCCACGTATTTCTTGGTTTTCTCAGTTATCTCCTCGTGCTGCCTCACAGTGCTATCTCTCCCCCACCCTTTAGGGCGGCTGCGGTTGTTCCCAGTGCATGAGCAAGGGAGCATTAGATGTTTCCTTGTAAGGAGCGTACACTGGCCTTACCTGCTGGGGCTTTGCCTTGCAGGAAGTGTGACTTGCCCAGATCCTGCTGCTTGGGAGGCAACAAATGTCTTCATCCAGCAGTGAGGTAGGAGTGACCACTTCTACGTAGAGATGGGGCTCTTCAGTGGAGGGCAGGGCTTTTGCTGCTGCTGTTTGTCGTAACGTGCAAAACCCTCTCATCAGAGATGGGATCCTCTTGTGCTAGGCATGCTCAGATAGAAAGAGATTGTTTTAAAGCGCAAAAAATGTTAAAATAGATAAGGACAAAGCTGGGAAAAGCTGCAGAGAATCATTGACTGTTCCATGTCCTTTTGGTGGGCTAATGGCACTCGGGCCCAGCAAGGTCAGTTCAGTGTGCACAAGATGAATTTCTCAAGAGAATAAGTGTTCAGTGCTCCTTCAGTTCAAAATAGTTGGTTTTGGCACATTGTTGCAACAGTCTCACATGCGCTCAGCGGATGCAGCCAGAGAAGACGGATGAGCCTATTGTTGCTGCAGTGGTTTTTTTTGTTCTGTTATTTTTCTGCCAGTTCAGTGAACTGAACCGGCTCATGGAAGAATCTCTAGTGCCAGAAACATCAGAGTACAGAGTAACAGTGGAATCAAGCCCAGCCCTTCTGACAGCTGTTAGATTAAGCCAGCCACTCTGGTTTACTCACTCCTGGTGCCTCCTCTTCCCTTCACAGGTGGGTCTCTGGGATCCCTGAATTTCTGCAGTTTGCAAGAGTCGTCCCTGGTGAGTGAAGAAGTAGAGAACCACACTTTCCAGTGTAATCCATACGGCACCATTTGCCACTGCTAACACTGTCTATTTGAAAGCACACAATCAGGTGGGTAGCTCACAGCTGGAGGGGGACTCCTGAAGTGAAAAACAAGGAGTGTCTAGTGTGTGTTTATGAGAACTGCTCACAGAAGCTGGCCCTGCAGTGAGACTTGGTGAAGGCTTAACTTACTGTCCTTCATGGGTTTATTTTCCATCACGGACAAAGAGTGGGCTTCAGCCTGGATTTTTTATTCCAGTTTGTGCTCTTTCCATCCTGGGGTTGAGATTGCAGCACCTCCTCAGCACAGTACCGGAGAGAGCTCTTAAATTGGTTGCCAGACTCCTGCAGTTCTCACTAGAGCTAGGGTTTCACCTCCTGTTCTTCAGGCTAACTGCATGAGGTGGATTGAAATTTCAGGGTTTCCTTGCACACGTGCTTTCTTTTTTCCCTGACATTTCATCACATTTCCCTGCTTTCAGTCAGGCTGTTTCAGCATGAAAATTCAGAGGGGGAATGCAATGTAAAGCAGTTAAGGATTAGGAAGTGATGAGTAGATTGCCTGGGGAGCTTGTGGTGCCTGTCCCTGGGAGCTTTTAGGAAGAGGCTGGCTGTGCACTTCAGCTGTGCTACACAACAGGGGGGCCTGTTTTAAGATGGGATGTGAACTGCTTGTCTTTGCACCACTCCTTCACCTCTGCTTTGCAAACAGTGCTTGCTAAGGTAATCGGCAATGACAAATGCTCATGGAATATTGCAAGTGTGTGAATCACCACCTCAGAAATATTTGGAAATAGCTGCTCTTGGTATTCTGGGCTCAAGCTTCCAAACAAGAGCTCCAAATAAGTAAGCAAGAGGACACGTTCTCTTAGCTGTGGGTACCCTTTGCTGAATGGGTGTGGGCAGCAAACCCGTGCAGAAGCTGTTAGTAATCCTTGAAGCTCTGGTGTGGTCACACTGAACCAGAGGCTGAGTGTTATATCCAAATGCAATGACTTTAATTTCTAATATTTGGCTAGCTTTAGAAACCATCTTTCTTTTTTCTCGTTTTCTTTCATGAAGCCAACATTTCTCATTGGTTTGGGGTTTTTTAGTGACTAGAGGGGAATGTAGTCTTCTCAGAAGCACACAAGCTGTTTTGCTCTTCAGTAGTGTCCCTCCTTTTCATATGGGCAGAGGAGACCTGGGTGGAGAGAATCAGAGTCATTAGGCTAAGGAGAGCTGCAGGCATGAAAGAAAGCTTCTGAAAGAGGATAGAGTGGCAGAAAGGCTGCATTTTCTCAAGGGATACATGCATTGCATGAAATGAGATGATCCTGCTGCCTTTGCTGCAGCAGGTAATTGCATGTTTTGTGTGTGCTTTGCTTGTTCTTTGTGACCCAGAATGTGTTTCTCTTCCCAGCCCTTAGCTCTTTCTTTGCTCTGAGTCTTTTGATTTGTTCTTTCTTGTTCTCTTCTAGTCTTTGTGCATGAAGCACAGGCCAGAGGTGCCTGCTGCCCCTTTGACATCTTCTCAGCAGGACTGATGGTGGCCAGGCTTTGAAAAAGAAGCAGCTGCAACATGGGGCCTCCCCAGCAGGTCTCCCATCCTGCTTCCTCTCCGTCTCCGTGCACGCATCCGGAGGAGCCAGTCTGCTCGCAATGCCATGGCTGCAGCTTCAGACAGCCAGAAGTCATCTGCAATTTGCCTCCTGTGACACTGAGTCACAGGAGAGAGGAAGGTCTTGATTCACTGTCTCATGGGAGATGTTCTGGCTCCAGGCTTCCCTTACCGTTTCCTCGCTTAGATACCCGTTCAGCAAAGCGTTTGAATAGAGTCCATTGAGCTGCTGCCTACAGCTTGTTGCCCCCCTTCCTCCCCCCAACATGACAGAAAATGTCCTTGTGGCACTGATGGTTGTTTCCTGAAGAAGTGTCAACTGTATGAAGTGGAGTTGGTTGCTTTGATATTCCCTATTCACGGCGAATACTAAAAATACTTGTTAAAGATCATGACTCTGGCGGCAGAATTTTTTTTGGTCTTTGTCAGTTTTTGTAAACTGTCACTTCAGTAGTGGGGAAATACGCATGTATGATGGAGGGAGGGTTCTTACTTCCCAACTGCCAAAACAATGCAGCATCTTAGGGAGAGAGGAAAACTTCCCATTCCTTCCATCAGTAACTGAACTTGAGAAAAAGTGTCTATCTTTTCTTTTTTGGGGGGAGATTTTCCACTTAGCCACCTTCTTGGAGGTGCTGGCCAGCTCTGCCTTGACTTTGGTCCAGAAATGTCTGTTATCTGCAAAACTGTCCTGGACATGTCACTGGAATAGCCTTTCCTGTGAGATTTCTGCTTCCTGCTGGGCTGACAAAGCAGCCAATTCGGTGGGATTTCCCCTGTGGTGGGGGGGCCATGGTGTGGCCACACAGTAACTGAAGTCTCAGGCTCCTCCTTAGCAGAGGAGGAATCTGTGAAGATCCTGTTCTACTTAAATACTTGAGATTTTCACACTTGAGGGTTTTACTAGTAGATATTATTTTAAATCCTTCACGGGTGGAAGGCAGCCTTTAGATTTGTCAATCTTACAAAAGAAATTTAGCATTTGGAGTATTGTGCTGGAACTCCAGAGAACTAGTTTGGGAAAACTAAGAATATAACACTATCCATCTGGCCATGGCTGGGCAATATTGTTTCACTCCTTTATTTCTTCTTTAATCTGCTCACCCATGGCAGGTGGTAGAGCTGGAGGTACACTTGTAGTGTCACTCTGACAGGTGCTCTGATGGTATTAGGGGTCCCTGTCTCAGATATACAGGGAGAGGACAGTTCAGACAGGTTTTTTAATTTCCTCCCTTCCCAACCAAAAACTAGAGCTTCATAGCTCCAGTTGTGCATAAGTGGGGGGGACTCAGAGTACCTGTTCATTTTACATCGATGCACCAACTGCCATTTGAAGGTAGTGGTTCCATGTCATTCAAGGTGATGTTGAATCCCTAAAGCCTCTTTCTAAATCCCTTGTGCCTCCTGTCTCTCTTCCTGAGATCTGCTGTGTTGCAGACCTTGCTTTTATGGAATCTGCCAGGCTGGAAGGTGCAGCCTGCTGTTCAGATCACATTTACAGAGGGCTCATGCTAGACTTAAGCCGATATTATGTTTGTTCCTCTGTGATGCTTATATTTGTCTTGTACTTTGTCTGGGAATTCGGACTGTGTGTCTTGGCTAGGCTCTGTGGTATATGTTTAATCCCAGCTTCTTTGCTCTCCTGCAGGGACTTGCTAGGGAACAGGAAGTAAATGGAGTGTCTTGTAGAGACGACTTGAAGGGAGAGCTGACTGCCAGCCAAAAACCCCGTCCAGCTACAAAAGCAGCTGTTTCAGCCCAAAGAATTTGTAAGCAGAATTATTTTCTTAGCACCTCATCATGCTTCCTGCAGGAGCTTGGGCAATCAGACAGGTTTTCCATCCTAGTAGGCTACAAAACATGGGGTGCTTATTTAGATAAGTTGGTGAGTGGTGCTTGGTGATCACACGGCTGAGAGAGCTCCACGCGGGTGAGGGGGGAGAAAAAGTTTTGAGGCGTCAAAAAGGGAACACTTGGGCTGAATCAATACTGGAGGTTTGGAGTCAAGTTTCAGCCTTTTTCCTGTGGCTGCTAATTCCAAGCCCCAGCTAGAGCAGGGATGTGTGTGTGTGTGTGCCTCAGGCACAGCAGAAAGCAGGAATTTTCCTAGGCTGTGACGCACAGTCTACCTGGAGGACTGGCTTTGTCCTGGCTCCAGGGCCAGGACAGGGGGCAGGGGACTCCCAACTGTCCAAGCGTTGGTCCTGTCTGGAACCTCTTCTACACTGAGAAGTTCCTGGAGTTAAAAAGAGAGAGTGTTTTTCTATGAGAGACTAATTGCCATAGGAAAGTAGAGAGACCTGCTCCCTGTTTCTGACATACAGGTCCCACTGTCACTTCTCTTATGAAAAAAAAATCCTTCAGCTCCTGACGACAGACATAAAGAAAACAGATTAGTTTGATCTAACAGCACAATCAAGTGTAGTGGGTTGGTTCCCCTTTGCTCTTTGTTTCCTCACTGGCCTGGAGTGGGGAAATTCCTAATCTCAACACCTAGCCATGCCCTCTTTGCCAAGCCTCAGCTTACCATCGTGGCCTGCGTTGAGGCTGTGACAGAGAGTAAAGCCTTGCGGCTGTTTTTCTAAGACACTGACAATCCTTTGCCAGCACCCAAAGGTCTGCTGTGGAGCTGCTGCTTCAGGGTGCTGGTATGGAGCTGCAGGAGCCTTCTGGGCAGGTCCTGGCCAGGGCTGTCTGTACTCCCCTGCCCCAGGTGCTCATGCCATCATAGAAGGAGTGACTGAACCACAGAGAAAGCAGCTCTCACACAATTTACAGCTCAGCGTGTTAAGATAATGCCAACTGGTGCTGCTTGGCTGCACCAGCTCCTTCTTCCATCGTGTTATTGCTTTGAAGGGTAACAGCCTGTTCATGATGCTGCTGTTACAAATATGGTTTCCCACTGTGATTGTGAACAGCATTGTTGTCCTGGAGACAGACCATGGTACCACAGTTCCCGTAGTTATCTCTACTACAGAGAGATCTGGGTTCCCCTTTTCTGCCTGTTTATGCCCTTGCAAGGCCCATGGGACTCTAACTTACATTCTCAAAATTCTCAGTTTACAGTTTGGTCCCAGCTGGCTCTGCTGTGCCCTACATCAGCCTCCAGAAAGTCTGTGTCATGGGACAAGAGACCTTTCAGCTGGAGAAGTCAGTCACTTGTTCAAGCTTGGTCCAGATCGTTAGGTAAATCTGCCTTTGTTTCTCAAACACACCAGGAAGCAGCAGGTTCAGGGTCACGGGTGGCAGCACGACCACGTAGTGCAGAGCTGCTGGGGGGTACATGTCCTCACCCCTGCCCACATATCTCTCCCCCAGGGGAATGGTTACAAAATCATTTCTGTGCAACTTTGAGGATGCTTGCTGTCTTTTATTGCCCTTCCTTTTATATTGTTAACTTTGGTTGGTGATGGCAGTAATTCAAGAGTGATGTTACAAGCAGTCAACTTCTAGCAGCATTGCTGCCTGGCTGCCACAGGCCACCATTTCAGAAAGTTCCAGAAACAGGGTGCTTGGGGGGTATTGCTTGTCCTGAGTTGAGGCTTTATTGCTGTGAGCAAACCTTAATTACAAAGCAAATGTTACTTCTAGACCTGATTGTCTGAATTCTGTGGCACCCTTACACATGCAGCAGGATGCAGTATACTTTTTTTTCCTGGCCCAAACTGTTGGGTACCACTTGCTGTGTCGCCTGAATGCAGGGGTGAATTTCATTGGGTAAAGTGACGCCTGTGTATGGATGAAAAACAGATGAAAGTATAATGTGAGTCAGCAGCTAGAAATTAAAGTTAGATAAATGTAAGCTTGAAATAAGGTACATGGTTTTAACAGTGACTATTTAACTGTTGGTGTCAGTTACCAAGGGATACAGTGGTTCTTCTGCCACTTGAAGCCTCTGAAGAAACCACGTCTTACTATCTCAGCCAGAAGAAATTTGGGACATCAGATGAAATTTCAGAACGTTTTCAGGCAGGAGACCAGTATGAGCATTCCTGCTGCCCTCTTAAAATCTAGAAATCTAAAAATAGGTTTTTTAAAGGCAACTTGGCACTCGTTAGAATAAATATTGCTGTTCTGTGACAATTCATCTTTCCCTCTCCTTAACGCTGTTTGCCTAACATGTTGCTCTGAGCTGGTGGATCGTAATCGAAACCGGTGATAAGCCGTGTTCATTAAACGCCGCAGTGTGTCTGTGTAACGTGGAGTGGTAGTTTATGCCCAGATGTGAAACAGAGGCTGGTCTATGAAGAGGCTTCATGCTGAGGTCGTGGCTTGCTGAGCGTTTCTTTTGGTGGCAATATGGTCAAAAGCTTCTCCTTCCATCCTTCCACTCCTGCTTCTTTTCTGCTTTCTTGTTTGCTTTTTTTATTTTTTTTTTGGTAGTAAAGCCCCCAACATCATCATAGGTCAGAATGTGATTTTCTTCCAGCTGAAAAGGCTTTCATCTTGAGAGCTTTCTCACTGACTTTCAGCCTTGGCAGTTGTCTTAGGGCTGCCTGAGTTTGTCTCCAGACCAGTATGGGAATGTAAGCGCTGGGGGATAAGCTGGCTGTTGCTGAAAGAGGCCCCCATTGGGAGCTGCTTCACCAGGTGGGAGGGAATGGTCAAGGCCAGAGATCAACTAGGACCCTAGCCAAGGACCTGGGCAGTGGTGACCTCGCTGCAGTCGCTGCCTAGGCCAGGGATAACTGTGCGAGGGGTGCTGGTGTTTGTGAAGGAAGTAGGACTGACAGTGATCTAGTGACTGGAAGGTCCAAACTCTTTCTTGATTTGACCTGAGATTAGGGAAAAAAATAGTGGTTTTTAATCCATGCGATCCTTGAATGGCTTTAGGCTATGAAAGGAAGTCTGGGCCTCCTGAAACACCCTGTGCCACAAACACAGCTTTACTGTGAAGGACTGTATTAAAACTGGTTTCCTTATTGAGGTTTGCTGGATACTTACTAAATGTGAGAAACCTTCAAAATCACTCTAAATGGTCACTTGTAGTTGTTTAAAATTTTATTTTAATATGTCTCCAACCCTATTACAGGCTTAGTAAATAAAAAACCCTCCAACTATTTCCTTTGACTTGCTGAACTTCAGGGTGATGTCGGTGTTGTTAATCTAATATCAAAGCATCACAGCACTATGAATCTGTTGATCCTCTCAACAAGAGGTGAACTGCTCCAGGCTACCCAGGGGGTGATAAAATACATCCCCACTTAACTGTATGCATATATGTAGAAGTGTCTTCCCTTGCCCGAACATTAGTCAGGAAACCTCTCTGGCCTGGCCTTGCCTGAAGTCTGTGGGTTGCTGGGAAGGTTATGACAGATGCTTCTGTTAAGCTGTATTCTGTAAACACGCCACCACCTTCTCCACCCAGTCATTGCCCTGCCATCTCCTCCCCATTCTTCCAAATCTGTTCTGCGTAAAAGAAAGTAACAATTGCAAGGTCAAACTTTCGAATTCCTAGGTGCTGCTTGTGCGTGCTGCTGAGTTGACTGAATGGTATTTGAAAAGTGCAAAGGATCTCCGAGATCAGCTAGACCTATGACACCCTCACAGAGAAACAGAGAAATGTTGGAGGTCAAAGGTTTGAGTAATAGGATGAGGAA